TAAATAGAAGTGTACAAATCTAAGAGGCGACAATCATAAAAAGGTGAGAATTTGCAAAGGGTAAAAGGATAAAACTGAAGGCACTGCATCTGAATGCACATAACTTTCAAAACAAAATTTCTAAGCTGAAAACACAAATAAAAATAATCTAGTATGATATGTTAGCCATTACAGAGACATGGCTGCAGGAGGAAATGGATTAGGACCTGAATCTTAATGGCTACAGGACGTTTAGGAAGGACAGGAAAAATAGGAAAAGATGGATGGGTGGTTCATAGAACATAGAACATAGAACATTACAGCGCAGTACAGGCCCTGCGGCCCTCGATGTTGCGCCGACCTGTGAAACCAATCTGAAGTCCATCTAGCCTAAACTATTCCATTATCATCCATATGTTTATCCAATGACCATTTAAATGCCCTTAAAGTGGGCGAGTCTACTATTTTTGCAGGCAGGGTATTCCACGCCCTTACTACTCTCTGAGTAAAGAACCTACCTCTGACATCTGTCCTATATCTATCACCCCTCAATTTAAAGCTATGTCCCCTCGTGCTAGGCATCACCATCTGAGGAAAAAGGCTCCCACTGTCCACCCTATCTAATCCTCTGATCATCTTGTATGTCTCTATCAAGTCACCTCTTAACCTTCTTCTCTCTAATGAAAACAGCCTCAAAACCCTCAGCCTTTCCTCATAAGACCTTCCCTCCATACCAGGCAACATCCTGGTAAATCTCCTCTGCACCCTTTCCAATGCTTCCACATCCTTCCTATAATGCGGTGACCAGAACTGTACGCAATACTCCAAGTGCGGCCGCACCAGAGTTTTGTACAGCTGCAACATGACCTCATGGCTCCGAAACTCAATCCCTCTACCAATAAAACCTAACATACTGTACGCCTTCTTAACAACACTATCAACCTGGGTGGCAACTTTCAGTGATCTATGCACATGGACACCGAGATCTTTCTGCTCATCCACACTACCAAGAATCTTACCATTAGCCTAGTATTCTGTATTCCTGTTACTCCTTCCAAAGTGAATCACCTCACACTTTTCCGCATTAAACTCCATTTGCCACCTCTCAGCCCAGCTCTGCAGCTTATCTATGTCCCTCTGTAACCTGTGACATCCTTCCGCACTATCCACAACTCCACCGACTTTGGCGTCATCCGCAAATTTACTAACCCATCCTTCTACGCCCTCATCCAGGTCATTTATAAAAATGACAAACAGCAGTGGCCCCAAAACAGATCCTTGAGGTATACCACTAGTAACTGAACTCCAGGATGAACATTTCCCATCAACCACCACCCTCTGTCTTCTTACAGCTAGCCAATTTCTGATGTTAGATAATGATGGTATTAGCACTTGGAGAAGGACGATTTAAGTTCAAGAAACCAAGATGTGGAAACAATTTGGGTAGAAATGAGAAATGGTAAAGGCAAGAAGTTACTTGCAAGAATGGTATACAAGCCCTCTAACAGTAATGATGTGGCAGTGAAGAGCATGAAGGAAGAAAAACATGGTGATAATGAAAGATTTTAATCTACCTATGAGCTGTGAAAGTGGATGGGCAAATGTAGCTTAGATGAGAAGCTATGTTCCCTTTTATATTTTTCCTTTGCTCGTTTATTCAAGATCTGTGTGTGAGTGACTTCTAAAACCAGAAGTCAATGCTAGGGACAACATTACCACACCAATCATCAGTATGCACAGACATGATGAGTTCATAGAAAGTTTTCAGGATAGTTTCATAGACCCGCCACGTTCTGAACTGTGCAGAGAGGGGGTATGCGTGACCCGATACTGTGCAATGAGGTAGAATTAATGAATGATCTTGTAGTGAAGGTGCCCCTAGGTAGTAGTGACCAGTAAAAACAGAAAAAGATAACTCTTTTTAAAAAAAAAAAAAATTACAGTATATGAGAAAGCTAGCCAGATAGTGAGACATTTAAAGAAGAATTAATAAAATGAATGTTGGTCCTACACAAAGTAAGACTGGAGAATTAATATTGGAAAATAAAGAAATGACAGATGAATTGAACAGGTATTTTCTATCAGTCTTTAATGTTGACTAATCAAGCAACGTCCAAGAAGCAGTGATAAATCGGGAAAGGGAAGGAGGGAGGAACCTTGTGAATCAGTCACCTGATAAATGGTACTGAGTAAATTGTCGGAAGTGTGGACTTACAAATGCCCGGGTCCTGAAGGGCTTCGTCGTAGGGTCTTAAAAGAAGTGTCTAGCAAGAGAGCTGATGCATTGTTTTTAATTTTCTGAAATGCCTTTCTTTTAGGGATGGTTCCATTAGATTGGAAGATAGTGAATTCATTATTAAAAAAGGGAGTGATACAGAAAACGGGCAGCTTAACATCTGTCACAGTGAAAATGATAGCTGTTGTTAAACTTCATGATATAGGGGTAGCATATTAACGTGGATGAAAGATTGGCTGGGTAACAGGAAGGAGAGAGTAAGCATAAATGAGTCATTTTGAGATTGGCAAGATGTAATGAGCTTGTGCAACAAGGATTGGTGCTGAGACTTCAACTATTTGCAATTTATGTAAATGGCATAGATAACTGGACGGAAGATACCATTGCCAAATTTTCTGATGACCTAAAGGTGGGTAGAAAAGTACATTGTGAAGAGGACATGATTAAGAAATATATAGGTAGGTTAAATAAGTGGGCAAAGACATGGCAAACTTAGTATAATGTGGAAAAATATGAAGTTATCCATTTTGGCAGGAGAATGAAAAGTAATACGTTTTCTAAATGGGAAGAAATTGCTGTGCTCATGCAGAGGGATCAGCGTGTCCTTATGCATGAGTTGCAGAAGATTAGTATGCAGGTACAGCAAGTAATTGGGAAAGCTAAATAAGAACTGAGAGAACTGTGGATAAAGTAAATCTAAGACAAAAATAGAAATTGCTTGAAAAGCTCAGTAGATCTGGCAGCATCTGTGAAGAGAAATCAGAGTTAACATTTCAGGTCGAGTGACCCTTCCTCAGAATCCGTTCTGATGGCGATGCCACATCTGGAGTGTTATGCACATTATTATCACTTTATTTCAGGAAGGATGTAAATATTTTGGAGGCAGTTCAGCAAAGGTTTACCAGATCAATACCTGGAATGTTGTGAGGAAAGGCTGGAGAGGGTAGGCCTGTATCTCATAGAGTTCAGAAGAGTGAGAGGCAACTTTGTTGAAATGTGAAAAATCCTGAGGGGTCATGACCTGATGGACATGGAGATGATGTTTCCTGTTATGGAAGTCTCAGGAATTTTGGGTCATTGCTTAAGAATCAGTGGCTGTCCATTTATAACTGGTGAGGGGCATTAGTCTTTGGTACTTTTTCTTGAAGAGGTAGTGGAAGTAGGATCCATAAGTATTTTTAAAGGAAATAGATTCTTGTTAAGCAAAAAGCTTTAAAGATATCAGGAATTCAGATTTGAGCGATGATCAGTCATGCCCTATTAGATGGTGGACCAGGCTCAAGGGGCTAAATAGCCATCCTTCCAATTCATATTTGTATATCTTGTCACACTTGAAAGTCACCTATTGAGTATTGACAGTCTTTTGCTAAGGACGGTTACAACAGCAACAAACTCCCCCACCCACTTATCACAAAGTCGTGGAAGCTAAGTTCTAGTAACTACTTTTGAGATTGACTTAAACAGATTGCTGTTCTATGAGGAAGTCTAGTGTTATGGAGGACAGAAAGTGGAGTTGAGGTAATTATCAATTCAACTATCTGGAGCAAACTTAAGAGACCAATTGGTCTGTTTCTGCTCCTATTTCTTAAATTCTGATGTAAATTAATCTAATATTTAAATGTCAGTGATGTATAGCTAAATGAAAAAGCAAAATTTTCCACATTTTGTAAGCTAGAAAATTTAGTCAAGCTCCACCCTTTTCTGAGTTCTGAGGAAGGGTCACCAGACCTGAAACATTAACTCTGTTTAATCCTTCACACATGCTGCCAGACCTGCTGGGCTTGTCCAGCAACTTTGTTTTTGGGCCTGATTTACAGCATCTGCAGTACTTTGAGTTTTTATCCGCCATTTTCTTCCTGAATGAATTGCAAAGAGCATGTTAAATTGTGTAATTCTGTTTAGGGTAAAAGCACTCACTGTCCCCAAGGTTTTACCCCTGGTTTTACCCAAATATGCCTAAGTTTCAATCTGCAGCTGGGAATTTGAGTTGGAAATTGGGTGCTACTGATTTACAACTGATGTTTGCACTGAGGCAAAGGAAATTATTTGTTCAGTTGTTGGTCATTGGTAATAGACAGTGCTACAACGATGGCTTCAGCAGGAGCTACAGATCTACTGTAAAACAAGATGGGATATTTTTCGCATCACTTAAATAATAGCACGAAGTGAAAAACCTGTTGGAGAGCAAATTTTCTTGTAAAGCATGAGCCAACCATGTGAGGTAGAGAAAAGACATAAATACCTAGAAACAGATTTCGAAGTAACTGGGAATTAAATTTTAGAGAGGGTTGAACAAAGCTCGAAGCCCTTAAATCAGGTGTTTTCTTAAAGCAATAGGTGTATAACATCGAGTAATACAATATTTTGGTAAGCAGAGACAAGAAGATGTAGAGCTGGATGAACACAGCAGGCCAAGCAGCATCAGAGGAGCAGGAAAGCTGATGTTTCGGGTCTAGACCCTTCTTCAGAAATGGGGGAGGGGAAGGGGATTCTGAAATAAATAGGGAGAAAGGGGGAGGCGGATAGAAGATGGATAAAGGAGAAGATTTTGGTAAGCATCCTGGTTCTAGGTGGCTTATGAGCAATGTCACTGGAGTACTGTGAAATTAACAGGAAAATTAATAACTTGAGTAAACCAATGGTAAATCTGTACAAACTGTACTTTAAGGCAACAGGTTAGCTGTAAGAAATTACAGTTGGGAAGTGAAAAAGAGGAAAGTCATCGATCTTGCACATGCATGACAAAGAAGACTATTTTCAGGTGTGTTTTTTTTTTAATTTGCAGCTTGCCAGAAACACCATCTGAATCTGTAGAATCATTCAGGTAAGATTTAAGATCATGTTGTGCCTCTTAACACCAGTTGTGGAAAGTCAGTTTTCAGCAGCTAATTTAATTTATTATTTTATCAAACACCTCAGTCAATGCAGGATACCAAATGATAATCTTTATCTTTTAGACCCTAGGGAAATGGGGTAGAAGAATGACATTTTGAACTATACAGCTATTGATAACAAGGTGCATAAATTTAAAGTATTAGCACAAAGCTTAGCAGGAAGTTGAGCTAGTTTTACACCTAGAGCGTGATGGGACCTGGTACTCCTGAAATGGTGGGAGTAGCAGGAACCCTTTTTGCCTTTAAAAAAAGTAATTTGATATGCATTTGTAGTGAGTTACAAAGGTACAGTCCACTAGCTCCTTTGGCAACACAGATACAATGAGCCAAAATGACTTCCTTTTCTATGCTGTAAATTTTCCATGAATTTAGATTTTTAAAGATCCCAAAACAATATTTCAAGAAGAATAGAGAGTTCTGTTGATATCTTAGCATCATTCATCCGTCAATAAATACTATTTGGACAGTTCACGTGTATATCGAATTAATTTTCTGCTTTGGTGTAATGTGCAAAATTGGTTGCCACATTTGCCTATGTTACACTGACGATACTTTAGAAGTAAATTCATTAGCTGTATAGTGCTTTGAGGCATCCTTAGGCCATGAAAGTTTCTTATTCACTAGGACTTCAGGAACCTGAATTAGTTTTAAATCTGAAATACATAATTTTTTCTTTAGCAAAGGTATTAAGGGATTTGGGCCAAAGGCAGGTACGTGCAGTTAGACCACATGAACTATTATCTCATTGAATGGTGGAACAGGCTTGAGGAACTAAATGGCCTGCTCCTGTTCCTATGTTGAGTTACCCTGGCTGCATAATGTTGGATTTTTTAAAAGGAGACCTATAAACACAGTGAATATATTTTCTGGCCCTTCTGGTCTGGGCGACGTGTAACTTGTCATAGAGCAACATTTAGTTTGTTTAAAATTTTCTAAACCTCTTTTGAAAGCATGCCCATTACATTATCTGCCCATTTCCTCAATCATTCTGACTCTTTTCAATGTTGTAATGTTTATCTAAGTTAGAAAGTGTTATACAGTTTAGGATCTGTATTTATTACCGGCAGTTTTTTGCCCTGAATCCCATTCTGTGTAGTAAAACATGACATCTGTTTATTTGTTTTTGCTTGCCAGAAAGAAAACTTATTCTCTCCTTTCTTTCTCTCTCTCTCTCGCTCTCCCTCCCTCCCCCTCCCCTCCCCACTTCCCCCCCCCACTCCCCCAAAAAATAAACAGAGAAGTTGGGTGCAATATTTCAATGTCAACTTGGAGTTCAAAGAATCTGGAGTTGATCAGACAGGAGGTGATTCTGGATATTGTCTTGTTGCTTCTGCTAGTCTGGTTCCTGAACCGGGAGTTTGAGGTTAGTTACCGTCTCAATTACCATGGTAATGTGGAGGCAGATCTTCATCGGCACAAGATACAGAGCATGAAGGACCAAGCAGACTGGCTCCTTCATAACATCATCCCAGCTCATGTGGCTGATCAGCTCAAGGTAACTCCTCATTACTCCAAAAACCATGAAGATGTTGGAGTTATTTTTGCCAGCATAGTTAATTTCAGTGAATTTTATGAGGAGAACTATGAAGGGGGAAAGGAGTGCTACCGGGTGCTGAATGAACTTATTGGTGATTTTGATGAATTATTGAGCAAACCTCAATACAACAGCAATATTGAAAAGATTAAAACCATTGGAGCTACTTACATGGCAGCTTCTGGGCTGAATCCATCACAACGACGTGATAGCAATCATCCGCACAGTCACTTGCAGACACTTTTTGAGTTTGCCAAAGAAATGATGCGGGTCGTAGATGAGTTCAACAAAGACATGCTATGGTTCAACTTTAAATTAAGGATTGGTTTCAACCATGGACCCCTTACTGCAGGAGTTATTGGCACTACAAAGCTACTGTATGACATATGGGGTGACACTGTCAACATTGCTAGTAGGATGGACACTACGGGAGTGGAGTGTAAGATCCAGGTGAGTGAAGAGAGCTATCGAATATTGAGCGAGATGGGCTATGACTTTGATTACCGAGGGACAGTCAATGTTAAGGGTAAAGGTCAGATGAAAACATACCTGTACCCAAAAAGCACAAACAGTGGGATCATCCCATCACACCAGCACTCAGTGTCTCCAGACATCAGAGTGCAAGTGGACGGAAGTATTGGGCGGTCACCTACAGATGAGCTTGCCAACCTTGTGCCTTCTCTGCCAGTCTTGGACAGGTCTGGTTACTACCCTGCTAATACTGAGGCTAATGACTCATCCTCTGCATGTCAGAAGGTCACAAAAGTGCAGATCAAAGAAGCTGATGACAAAATAGGTGACGACGATCCAGAGGAAATGGATGAACTGACAAAGTTACAAATATCTAGCCAACTATGATGCATCTTTTCATACCACAAACCGGGCTCACCTGGGAGAAGTCAGTTCACATTGGTAGTCTGCGTGACATAATTATTTCCGGTTTTTAATATTTCATTTTACATCCTGATTGCTGTGTGGATCACAGTAACACAGGATCCAACTCCATTGCAAATGCCTGTGCTGTTTTGGATATTTAAGTGCCTTTGGAAAAACTGAAGCATGTGCTTCAGGTAGAATGGATGGAGGTAACTGAAAGATTGGCTTAATTTTCGAACCCTTGATAAAGCTGTGGTTACAACCTTGCTCCATCTTTTTCCATTCTTCTTACATCGCACCCCGTCTCATTTTCTTTCTCAATGCAGTTTTGTTTCTTTGTACTTTTTGTACCTATAGTTAAGGTAATCTTTTAATCTGAGCATCTGCAAACAACCACTGAGGGTGGATGTCGGTGAAAGCATTCAGTACACAAGGAATGGGAGTGGGAAGAATCTGGTCAAGTAAATTATTAACAACCCCTGAGTAAGTCCTGACTTATTCCAAATTATGAAATGAATGTGCCACTTTAACCTTGAGGATACAGCCCTGTCTTTCACTTTCTTTGACTGTACCTACAAAGTACATATTAAAAGCAGACTGTGGATGGGTTTCAGACGCACTGTTACATGCTGGTGTCTAAAGGGTTGTGATTCTTTTAAATTTTTTTGGATCAATTGAAGTCTTGAGTTCAGTGTTTGTTTAGATCTGTGTAAGAAAAGTTTTGAATGTTGAACAGTCTTATTCAGTATAGTGAGTTGAATTAATGTAAATATTAGCATTGGTTCCAGATTAGAATAACAGACCTTTTTGATTATCCCCAAAAGCTAAATGTTCTCGTTAAAAGCCTCAACACATTATGATTCGAGATCTGTTTTCAGTTCTTAATATC